ATTCACTCAACGATGCTTAAGTTTTATAATTTATAAAATAGTTTTTATAACGGAAAATGTTTTCGTCAATTTAACGCCAAATTTTCACAGTTTTAAATGCTTCAATTTCAACTGTAACGTTAAACGTAGTCCGTCTAAACAAATGTAGGGACAGAAAGTTCCCGATTCTGCATTTTTTTTTCCTGCATCCCCTCAATTGCAATTCCCAAGCTAATATTTAAAAATATAATTCAGTACTCACTGCAGTGAGTGTCAGAGAGCGCATTTTCTCGTCGACGAAAACGTAAGTCACGGACGGACAGACAGACAGACCGACGGACGGACAGACGGACATGACGAGCACAATAGTGCATTTTTTCCATAAATGAGAAAATGCGCTAAAAATAATCAAGACGATCTTGTGCTCAGTTGAGATTTCCTGGAACTTCGGTCGTCGTTGTTGCGTCTGAATTATGACAGATGTTTGCTTGCCACTTGCCGGCCCAACTGCTCGGCCAATGCAAGGTTTGGTGACGCCCATCCCTTGATGACAACCGATAAGCAGAAATTAACTATGAAAAATTTTTCTGAATGGATGTCGGAAAAAAATTGTTGAAGTGATTTTGAAATAAATAGGATACCAATCTTTTCTGTTCAAGCTGCCTTTTAATATGGTAATGAGTTTTTAATGGAAGTGTGGAAGTTGAGGCCTACAGCTAGCAGGATGCAAACAGTTGTAGGTTGTGAGCGACTTAACTAATTGCTAGTAGATTTCGTATTTATAATGCATTTGCATTCACAGTGCATTTTTCCTTTACATTATACTCCATATTTATTTTGCATTGGCATTGACAGTGAATTCCTATTTATTGCCCATTTTGCATCATGATCACTATAGGTTAATCTGACTTTAGAACAATGGAAATTCAGCGCCGATGAACAAGTTACGGAGAGCGCGTACAATTTTTCATCGCTAAAAGAGCAACAATTTCAACAAGGATAGTAACATCAATTTTGCGGAAATATATTTTTGCATCGTACATGGAAATTGGTTCGAGCAAAATATCGGGATCCAAAAACCCACAACGCTGCCGGCCCTCATATTACATAATTTTTTTTTCAAATCATAGAGGGAGATTAGTTTAAACAATATATCGAGCCAAAATATATCCAAAAACCCAAAGTAGAGCGGTAAGTTTTCATAATAATTGACGATTTTTTACGAACAGGTGAATGATAAAAAATTCAGCAGGGGTATAGGTGACATTTTGGCGCTACTTGAGTAACTACATACGAACAACCAAGATTTGTAGCAGGGGATTAGCAGAACATGATGTCAAACATCCGGTCTTTCTGTCGTATACAGGAAGCTTTCCATCACAAAACGGATCTCGAATGAGACAAATTATCTTACTTGATTTACCTTCAATGGCTAAAGATGGGGACTAAAGTGAAGAGGAATGAGGGATAATGCGCTAGGATAGGCAGCGGGAGCGTATATGAGATCCTACGGCCTGATTAGGATACCAGTACAACAAGCCGCTACCGTGCACTGACGCACAAGCGGGTAAGCTATTTACTGAGCCAAGTCACAAGCCGGTGAGCTATGTATATATTTACTGAGCCAAGTCACAAGCGGGTAAGATGACCGCTTGCTGAGTCACAAGCCGCTACAGTGAGCCGAGTCATATAAGTGGGTGAATAATATTGATCGCTGAGCTGAGTCACAAGCTAGCGTACCGGCCGCTGAGCTGAGGCACAAACGGGCGAGCTGAGCGCCGAGCCGAGGCACAAAAAAGTGAGTTCAGCGCCGGTACAGAAGCTCACATCCGTTGTCTCGTTAGTCGCTACGAAATTGTTATTATTTTTAATCCGTTATCGCCGTATTGCTTTGCACTGAATTATGAGAAGATTTGTTTGTTTACTGAGATAGTTACGTATATGAAGCGAGAAAATACGACTAATTGAGCTGAATAGTTAACTTACCACCAAAAAAGGTGCAAGAGCGATAAAAAACAACTATACACATTATAATTTTAAAGCTTTTAATGATCAGCAGCCCCTTTAATTTAAAAAATCAATCTCATGTCAAAATAATTATATAACATGAGAAAAATGAGAACAAAATATAACTGATTCGTCACTCGACCAGATACACTCCAAACAAAGTCGCTCCTCAAGATGTAATGTTTAGTGTAGAAACCTATAAGCATAGGCACAGAAACGTCAACCAAAAATGCTTGGACGATAGTTTTCCAACTTAAATTACAGCCCTTGAGTTGTACAATTTCAACACCCAACGGCCAGCAAAACATTGCAGGCTTCACCGACAATCTCATGTCCATCTTGACGCGTCGTCTTATTTTCCTGGAATTTTTTTGCCAATTTTCTTGACTCGACGAATAATAAAAAATGAATTGTCCTAATTGTCGATGAGAAACCTGTTCGAGGAGATATCGCTTGCCCACCCAACTAATAAGCGCCAGGTGCCATTTGTATTAATGAGAGGAGAGCAAGCGAGTCTAGTTTTGTACGGTGGTCTGAACCTTGCAGTAGGCTTACTGATAACATTAGTACGAGTATATCAGCAATAGGTCTTGGTAGTAAACAGTATATGACCTATGATTAATCTTCTTTTAAGAGTATAATTTGTATTATTATCGTATAGTATTTCAAACTAATACTATTCAAAGTTAGATGAGTAATACTTCCGATGTTAAACGGATTTTAAATACAAGGGTTATTACTAATGAAATTATTGTCGTGGTCTGGAAATTCGGTGGAAAACAAGTCACGTCAACGAAATAGTACTATCTTAAAAAATATAACTTAGTACTCACTGCAGTGAGTGACAGAGAGCGCATTTTCGCGTCGACGAAAACGTGAATTCACGGACAGACGGACGGACGGGCGGACATGACGAGCACAATAGGGCATTTTTTCCATAAGTGAGAAAATGCGCTAAAAACACAGCCTATTTAGTGCATAAATAAATCTACTCAGCAGATCCTGTATATAAATAGATAACTGCACTCTACCAGTTGACTTTCCGTCATATATAGAGAGATAAACTTTATTCAATTATCATAGTTGCTTTAGTAAAGCAAGCCTTGAATATCGTCCCCTGTTGTGCGCAGGCGCGCAGTGCGCGGTTCCCTCCATGCAAATGAGCCCAACACAAACTTGATTTACGTTTGGTCGTAACTTACGCAGATGGAATTCTGAGCGATCTTCGTGTTTCTTATGAGTCCCACGGGCCCGAATATCGGGTCTCGTCGTGGGCGCGGGAGTCGTCTTGGTCGACTTGTAATGTCCAATCAAGGATGAGCGATGTTGAATTTAGGGAAAAATAAGGTTTATGCTTTAACGCTCCTGTTGGTGGAATGTCGTCCCGTAGAGCGATATATTTAGTTAATTTACATATTTTGAATTTAGAGGAAAATAAGGCTTATGCTTTAACGCTCCTGAGAGGGGCATGTCGTCCCGTAGAGTGATATATTTAGTTCATTTACATATTAATCCTAATGTTTTTTCATCCTCATTCACCGTAATGCGCTGTATGAATAATATCGCCGTTATAACTCGGCGTAAAATGGCATTTAACAAAGTAACACAGAGGACGATTTATCATTAATGAATTAAATCTCTGTACTTTTTCATCGACATCTCCGAAATTTATTAAATCTCTTATCCTGAATTCCTTTTACTAATTTTGATACTATGTATATTTTAAATGATGTTAATAAGAAAGAAACCCATTGAGAAGCTTCACAATAATTTAAAGTTATTTACTAAGAAAAATTATCTTTATTTAAGCAAAGAAAACTTGGTAAAATTTAACAATAAGCAAATAGTTGAGCTGACACTAAGCAGTTTATAACAGGGAAACCACATATGAAACTAGTATCATGGAAAAGCTTTTATACGTACAATATTTGCCTAATTTAGTATCAGTTCAGTTAATTTTTCACTAAATTGGGAAAAAAGTTTCAGCGTACGTACATAACGAAATCCTCAACTTTCTTTTTAAGTACGCACCGAATTGTATCAGCAAAGCATTTATTCTCAAAGCCAGACATAATTAAAGTCAACCAATCTAAAGTATGATGCTAGATAAATAATCACAAAAAACTTACCCTCGTACCTAATTTCTGTTGTTTCAGCAAAAAATTATTAATCCACCAAGCTAATTAAATTACATCCACCATAGGATATTTATCAAGTTCAATATATAAAAGTTAAATAGGAACGTTGAAGTTAATATTCGATCGAATTTTTATTTAATCTTTATCATTCCTTGCCGACGAGTTAAACATATGGCATTCACAGGCAACACTAAATTCTCGAAAATTTAACGCTTTTTAGGGGCTCAAGTTTTGATTCCTATGAGGAACTTCTCAGTAATTGCCGAATTTTTTCAGCTATGCGTCTTCTGATCTAAAAAGTTAATTTCATTTGAATAACAAAAAACACCGGCTGTAATGAATTTTATTATAGAACTTACGACAAGTTCCATAATAGACAACGTCAAAACTCTACAAACACACTGAAAAGTATAATATTGCAATGCGAGACAATAATTATTCTTCTTATTTGATGTCTCAACAAATAGTTTCAAATTTCGTTTCGCGTTACACAGAACACTTCACTATAAACTGCTCAAATTGAAAATAGTTTTCTGCATTAAAACCTAATAATCGTCTTCTTTTTCGGTCACAGTACGAGAACAGCTGAAGCAAGTTAGCGACTTGAAACCACGCAAGCGCACTCCAGCCTTCGCCTTTAAAAGTGTCCAAATTTGAGCGAGTGTTGGAGCGAGCGCGACGCACACCCTACCCACACCTCCTCTGGCCCCACACTGTCAGAAAGTCAGGCAGGCTGGGGCATTTGACCGAGCGAGGCTGAGGCAGCCGTGATTACGGCAGGTAGACACGCAGCGGTTGAGTCGTGCCCGTGGCCAGCCGCGGCACCGCAGAAAACAGCGCCGCCGGGAGCAGGAATAACGGCAGCGGCAGCATCACGTCTCGTCGGCACGACGCGCCATGAACTTTAGGGACTTTGTGCGGTCCGCAGGATCTGTGTGGCCCGCAGGGTATCTGAGGCCTGCAGGATTTCTACGGTACGCAGGGTCTGTGCGGTCCGCAGGGTCTCTGTGGCCTGCAAGATCTCTGTGACTGGTAGGATCTGTGCGAGCCACAGAGATTATTGCGAGTCACAGGGCGAGCAGGATTTGTGTAACCAGCCGAATCTCTGTGACCCACAGGATCTGAGCGGCCCGCAAGTTCTGAGCGGCCCGCAGACTCTCTGTGGTCCGCTGAATTTCTGTGGACTGCAGGGTCTGCTGTCCGCAGGATCCTCTGGCCCGCAAAGTCTGTGGGGACCGAGTTGTCTATGGTAGCTTACGGACCAGGGGTTCTTGTTCTACAAGCTCCTGGAAACTTTTTAAGCAGGCAGATCTTGGAGGAGTCTGATGGGATTATAGACCCTGCAGGATCTTTGAGGGATGCTGATATACGAGAATCTCGTTGGACAAGTTAGTAGGAACAGACCCCATTGTAGACCATCCACCTTGGAGACCATGGATAGTCAATGTGGCTGTAGACTATGAGTTTGTTTTAGATACACAGTTCGAAGGTTTTTTTCTTTGAGGGGCCTGCGCCACTGAAAACCTGTGGGTTCATTCTTCGTCATTGCGCCGCAGTTGCGCAGCCTGCGCCAGCTGCGCTGACAATTTCATCAATGGATTGTTTGCCTTCAGTCACGGATGATAGAACATGAATCATCCAAGACAGGGAAAGATTTTTTCTCCGAAAAAAATTCTAAGGAAAAATTCTTCCAGCTCATTTTGCATCAACTTATAGTCGTGCTCCATAAAAAAAAATATTTTAATTACAAAGATTAGTCATGAAGACAGGAGCCGTGAACGACAAAATTCCACAATTTTATATCAACCTAAAATTATTCTGCCGCTAAGTTTTTCGTAAATTCCAGTTTCAGCTCAAAAAGTTAATTTTTTAAAACGCGAAAAATTACTGATAATTAAAATAAAATGAGACGACAATATAAAAGTTCATGAAACGGTGTCTTAAACACCAAAATGACTCCGAAGTTTTTTTTTTTTTTTTTGCTGGACGCTCCCTAAATATAAAGAAATATTTCTTTAAGCAACAAATATAAATAAAATAAGTTGGAGCATCAACCACCGTGCGTTCAAGAAGCATATCTTAACGACCCCTAATTAGTCAAATAAATCTGCTTTAATGAACGCGAGTTTAGATAGAAATTCTTTCGAGTTTAATTAGATGAAAATCAGCTCCGCTTCCTGCCAGAAGACGCTCAAGTATTCTGCTTAGAGCGCGGGCAGAGCTTTGCACTCAGAACCAGCGTGTTATTGTATTAAAGTTAACAAATGGTCTATTGTGTTAAAGAACAAGTTACAGCATTTACAGACTGTTAATAAATGGTCTATTGTATTAAAGAACAAGTTACAGCATTTGCAGACTGTTAATAAATGGTCTATTGTATTGCAGAACAAGTTACAGCATTTGTAGACTGACAACAAATGGTCTATTGTATTAAAGAACAAGTTACAGCATTTACAGACTGTTAATAAATGGTCTATTGTATTGCAGAGCGAGTTACAGAATTTACAGACTGACAACAAATGGTCTATGTCATTAAAGAACAAGTTACAGCATTTGCAGACTGTTAAAAAATGATCAATTGTATTATAGAACGAGTTCAGCATTTTCAGACTTATAACAAATGGTCTATGGTATTACAGAACAAGTTACAGCATTTGCAGAGTGTTAACAAATGGTCTATTGTATTATAGAACGAGTTACAGCATTTGCAGAGTGTTAACAAATGGTCGATTGTATTATAGAACGAGTTACAGCATTTGCAGTGTTAACAAATGGTCAATTGTATTAAAGAAAAAGTTACAGCATTTGCAGTGTTAACAAATGGTCAATTGTATTAAAGAATGAGTTACAGTATTTGCAGACTGTTAAAAAATGGTCAATTGTATTATAGAACGAGTTCAGCATTTTCAGACTTATAACAAATAGTCTATGGTATTAAAGAACAAGTTACAGCATTTGCAGACTTAAAACAAATGATCTATGGTATTAAAGAACAGGTTACAGCATTTGCAGACTGTTAACAAATGGTCTATGGTAATATAGCAGACTTTGCAGCATTTACGGATTGCTAAGGAAAATGGTTTATAGTAGTACAAAGCAATTTTCAGAAATTGCATAATGACTGGGCCCATTTTTTGTAGTAAAGAATAGGTTATAACATTTACAGGCTGTTATGATCATTGGTCTTTTATATTACATAATAAATTAAGGCTCTTACAGACTTTAAAAACCGTTTGCGCTTGTATTTTGGAAAGTCATGTAACATTTGCTGACGGTAAAAGTCTCACAAATTTGTATTTCAATACAAGTTACTTCATATTAAGATTGAAAAACATTTTACGCTTGTATTTAGTAACAAGGTACTGCTTCTTTAATGAGAAGTCTATTTACGACTTAACTTCATGGAATGATTTAAAATAAAATTTTATCAATGACTGATTAAATTAGTATAGTAGCAATTTCTTTTCCTTGTAGTTTACAAGAACAATTATTAATAACATTAACATTACTTCAGGAAATATAAAAGTTGAAACAAAATAAAACATTTGAGCGAGTGACGTCCGTCGCGTTGTTTCGAGTCTTGTTTTGTTGAGCCTCAGCCCTGTAATGACTTGATAGCCTCAAGCCATCAGCCACTGTGGCTGATGGCATCTAATCATCAGCCACAGTGGCTGATGGCTTCTAGTCATCAGCCAGATGTGGCTGATAGCCTCCAGCTATCAGCCACAGTGGCTGATAGACTCTTGCCATCAGCCACAGTGGCTGACAGCCTTTAGCAATCAACCACAGTGGCTGATGGACTCTAGCTATCGGCTACAGTTGCTGATAGCCTATAGCTATCAACCACAATGGCTAATGGCCTCTAGTCGTCAACCACAGTGGCTGATAGCCTCTAACTATCACCACAGTGGCTGCTTCCACCAATAAAGAAACGAAAAGGTGACGGAGCATTTGCTGATATTTGTTCCTGTCTTCGCAGATGCCAATAAAATTGTAAAAATTAAACTTTTATTGAATATAAGACATTAATTAAGCAGCTTGACGTATTGAATGATTAGAAAGTTTATTATTAGGCTGTACGAACTTTCTTTACAAAAATATCAAAAAGAAACCGGCTGCCATAATTGCACGTTTGAAATATTTTTAAAACACCCTATAAAAGGCAGTTGAACAGAGAATAATTTATCAAAAAACGTGTAATGTAAGTCCCGCTGCAGACGTATAAATACATCAGAAATATTATAAGTTCGAGTGTATAACAGCAGACGGCGACAGTTCTAACAGTAGCGTGTTCTGTTGAACTTACAAGCGGCTTACAGGTGGCCATTGAAAGGCCAACGACTAGCCGCCGATATTTCGGCCAGAATAATTGATAGTTCTTGTAGCTAATGACCTTGCAAAAAGTTGTATACGAGTAAATTGCAGACGAATAACCTCTCGGTCCTACATCCATGGCTGCGAATTCATAGATGTGGTCTTGGTATTGAGATGGGGGTCAAAATTACGCTATAAATACTTAAATAAAGTGTGCCAAAATTATTTGCAAGCATAATTAGTGCCATTTCATCGTGCACTTGCATAAAATTTATGCTCTTGTGATTTTTTAAGTTTCTAAAGCAAAGGTTTGTAGTTTTCAATATTATTTTAGAGAAGTTTTTTTTTTTCCACGAGGTTTATTACACAAGATTTATTTTTTCTTTTAATCATGGAGGAGTTCATTTTTCTGTTCATGGTCAAGAATCAATACATAAATGTCGTTATGACGATTGTAATTCAAGTTCTTGAATAAGTGATTCGTTGTTATTAATGACGAATATAAATGTAACAAAAAACACCTTCGTGTCATGTCCTTGAGGTGAATATAGGTGCGTATAATGAACCAGCGCCGAGTAATTGGTTCCTAATGAAAGATCAACGTTCTGCTGGCGCATGGACGGTTCTCACAACCAACAGAGAATTGAATCCCAGAGAAAGTGACAACAAACAAGAATATTTACACAACAAACTCGTGCCGTAGAGGAGCATCAGCTATCGAGGCTGAGTAAACACATGGCGACTGCAAAGCTGGAGAATTTACTGCTAACCTGAAAGTGATTTCCGGTCAAGAATGTCGGCCGATTTAATGACGAATCATAAGAGGCCTCCGATGCCCATGCTAAAATTTTCAACAAGGAATTTCGTGCCATTAGCTTCGTCGAGCGCATCCAACCACAAGACTTTCACATTCAACGTGAACATGCGGTGTTGGATGTACATTGCGGTTTGCAGTGAACATCCAACATCGTTTCCAGTTTTAGGATGTTTTATATATAAAAATTTACATGTTTATACAATTAAAATTTGTATGAAGCTTGAATGAAAAACACGATTTTAAATGATTCCAACTCGCTCTTTGTTTAGCATGCACACAGCTAATAATCAATAATGGTTGTGTCAGTGATTGACAACAAATATAATTCGTTAATTTTTACATGTTTTACTGAAAATATAACTATTCAAGTTAGTTTCTTGGCGCCGAAATCTTTTAGGTATAACTGCTGAGTCCAACGATGTCTTGTGTTAGTACGAATACAAACTAAACCATGCGTTCAGAACGTGTGAGTTCAACAAAAAACATTTATGCATATGTTCCTTAGACGACTCTAATCACACCTCTTCAATAGTGTTGGTTTAGATGCCAGGCTGCATTGAAACAGTCACTAACCCTTAATTAAGACCATTCATAGCTAGCCTCATGAAAGCATCTATTTGTTCGTCCGCTTAGTATAAGATGGTTTATATCTATAGCAGTATCATGCCTTGCGTATCATCCATCTTGTTATGAAAATAATATCGCCTGTAACGAGGAAATTGATGGTCCGGTCGTAAATCTAACGCACGCTCGCTCTTCATGCTTTGCTGAATCAAAATGATTAGTGGAGTGCCGTTGTATTGCCTCTTCATTGGAATTCGATCTCTCTTGCGAATTTCGGAATTAAAATTGTTGATTTATTACGCAAAAATTGCATTGCTCGCGTCAATATAGTTTTAATAAATTCAATTACAGTTTCATTTCAAAGCTTTCACGTCAAAATATTCTTTTGGAAATGTGAAAACCGATCAAAAAATAATTTTAATCTTTACCTCTACACGGCTTGGAAAAATTAGCTTTGAAAAATGTTGCCATCATATTTGTTGTGCGCAACAAACTACGTTCATTTCCTGCCTCCAAACTAAGGCTTCTAAAAATTACACCTGAGCCCGGCAGTCATTAGAGTTCCGTCCGTATTAAAAGTGCAACAGAAATGCTTCATTGTTGCGGAAGGCAAGATAAAGTTTCTTGCTTCTGCTAAAACACTGACGTATCTCATGTGTCTTGCTAGGGTAAAAAGAATCCAAAATTTTTCAGTGCACTAAGATCTCTCATATA